TTCCCTACAGGTAAAGTCAGTCATCTTTAGGCTTAAGGCCTGGGAAATTTTATACATGCTGGGCACATCTACACATGATATTAATGCAATGCAATAAACTCCAGCACAGTTCATGCCAGAGTTGATTGTTCCTGGGCACAGTGTTTACATGTGCACCCAGGACATGTGCACCCAGGAGCACATTGAGCCAGAGCAGCACAACCCCAGCTGGCAGGAGGCCCAGGGAGTTATCCAGCCAGCCCAGAGCTGCTCTCTGCTCAATGTGCTGCAGAGAGGCTAGCTGGAACACAAGTGCACTACAGTGTGGCACTAACCGGCAAGCAGTCCCCACGCTTAAACTCCTCTGTAGACTAGTACTTGTGTCGGAAAGTACTATTCTATGGTGGAGTTAATTAGTTTACTCTGGCCTAATGTAAATGGTGACACTTCACTGTACAGCTAATTAGTGAACTCTGCAGTAAGTGTCTCATGTAGATGTACCTATTGTTGTTGTGGAACCTTTAAAAACACTGAGTAAAACCCAGCCCTTGTTTTAAGTCCTGAGGGAAGCTGTGGATTAGGTCAATGCTGACCAAACACTAATGATTTGTGCTCATTCTGCCCAGTAATACTAGCTCCCCTCCTTTCCATATTACATCCCTCTGCTGCTTCCAGCATGGAAAATCAATTCACAATTTCAGAATGCCACAGACATGCTCAAGGTACCTCATAAAGCCTTAGATCTTTCTCTTGAACAAGCTTTTTAACAAAAGTCGCTATAAACAGCACCCAGGCACTCATCAGAGAAAATGGGAGAGCGTAGGTCACACTGGTTAAGAACCTGTAAAAAGAAAAAAGATACTTTTTTTGGAATAATATTCCCGGTAAAGGAAAAAAATACTTGTATTTTGACACAGAAGATTATAATTAATATTAGAAGAAGATATTTTATGCTTAAATAAGATTTTCTATCCAAGAAAATTCTAACAGTTTAACAGTATTAATGAATTAAGGACTTCATATACTATAACTTTAAGTAGACCTACTCATTCACTCTGACTGTACAAATGGGGATATTGCAGCAGAGAGAGATTATGATTTTTTTTTTTTCAAAATTGGGTGTCTAAAGTTTGTCACCAGCATTCAAACTTGCCAATTTTCAAGCATGTTGGAATCCTTGCTTCCCAGGGAAATCAACAGAGAAAGTTAGTGATTGTCACTTGTGAAAATTAGCTTTCTTATTCTATTACCTAACTATAGATTCAGTGACCTGACTTTAGACACACACATTTGAAAATTGTCACCTATGGCTAGGTACAGACATTACACATAAACTGATATAAGTGATCAGCAACTAGTCTAAACCTGTAACAGAACAGAAATGCAGTGCACATAGACCAGTTTAAAAATGGCGGAACCTGGATGAAGGTAGTATCAGATTTAATCAATTTAGGTTGGACCAGTTTATCTAACTTCTGCCTGAGATCCCATCCTGACTCAAGTTAGGTTGCAGTCCCGCAGCATCCCAGGCTGCTTTGCAAGCCTCTGCTAAACCCACCTTGTAAGATAAGCAGGCTAGCCTTGGCCAGCACTTGTCTGCTCCAGCCAAGCATTGGGCTAGCCCTGCCCCCAGGCTGTCACAGAGATGGCATGAGCCCGGACTGACAGCCATGGAATGCCAGGGTGGGGGGAATGGAGGCCCCGCTCCATGGGCACATCACTGACCCACTCCAAACCCAAGTGAGTACAGCTGGGGAAGAGGGCCCATGCAGGTGGGGGCCTCCGCTCCTCCACCCCTCCCCTCTGCCACTGCCTGGCTTGGCTGTGACAGAGATGGCAGGAGTCAGGACTGATTGCCACAAGCAGACTGTCAGTAAAGCCAGGAAGTCCCAGGGGAGTCCCTAGAGGGGGCCTGGGCAACAGAGGGCTTCCCTACCTGACTTTCCCGCTGTGCTGCTCAGCTTGGCTGATAGCCCCATGCAGTCTCAACACCAGCTCCTGCCTGCCTGTGTCAGCCAAGCCAGGCTGTGGCAGCAGTGGGGGGAGGGAAGGGAGAGTGGAGGCCCCCCACCATGAAGGCCTAGCCCCAGTTTCCCCAGATCAGAGCAAGCACAGCTGGGGGGGTTGACCCCTCTTTCCTTGCTGCCAGTGACAGCCAGCTGCTTGGAGGGAACAGGGCTGGGGAGAGAGTCCACCCTGTGAGACACACAGAAGCACTCCCTGCCTTCTGGCCTCAGCGAGTGCAGTCATCTGCATGTCTCCCACATTGAAGGGCGAATGTGTGTTCCCTTTGTTCCCAATCCAATATATGCAGCTTAGAGAAACCTGCATAGATTGGATTGATTCTGCCTTGGGCTTTTTGAATGTCTGTATCTAGCCTATGCAGTTTCCCATTATCACACAGAGAAGGTATACAAAGCCAGAATAAGAGCTTAAGTCTCATGACACCCAGCTCTTTGCTTTAGCCAAAAGATCTTTCTTCCATCCCAGATATGCCACAGATGGTGTGCACATGACAATGATCAGAAATAAAATTAAGCAAATGTAATTAAAAACAACATCACTAGTGGACTGTTTTAAGCAGCAGATTAAATCTACTACGTGGTTATCTGGTTCCCTTCTCTCCCTTTTCTCTCCCACTGGTTAAAAACCCCATATTACTTCTGCAAAATGTTCTGAATAAAGAAAGCACTTTTGAATTAAGTGAAATTTCCATTTTGATTTGAAATTTTTCCTTGCAAAATTGAAAATGTCATCCAAATCAGTTTTCACAAATGTGTTCATTTAGATAGACTGTACTTTTCAACAGCCGAATTTCAAAGAGTTCTGATTTCTTCTGCACTTTCCTCTTCACAATCTGAACAATCTGTATAGTATGGTGATAAACATTTTGAAAGACAAATTCTAACAGTATTGCTCAGTGACATTCAAGATTGTCAGAATTTTCCCTCTAGGCCAGTAACAACTGAAAAATGTTGCATTTAGAGTGGTGTCTACTGTATCATCACTCCTGGGTATTTTAATAATTGAATAAAATGGTGTACCAGTTGAGAAAAAGGAAATGATAAGGTGAGATAAGGTGACTGCTTTCTTGGCAGTACAAGTACAAGAAAGGTATGTTACAACTGAATAATAAGTGTCCCGAGGACCTAGTTAATCACAGTACACAATGATCTAACAATAATAATCCATATATTTGCTGAAAGAAGTTGACTTTTTTTTTAAGCTCCTCCTGCCTATCTCAGTAGCAATGAGGTAGGCAAGCATATTGGCTCTTGATTTGCTGTAGTGCTTGGTCAGTAAAATATGATTAATTTAGCACGAGCAGTATGCAAGTTCCCTTTTAGTGTGAAAGGTCCTGGGTTCAATCCATGCTGTTGGCCAAGGCAGAGTCATTTATACAGTAGGCTGTGAAATTATTGTCCAAACTAATAATGTAATTTGCTGATCATTCTTTACTGCTTTATAATTCACTTCAAATAGCGTTTCATGTGTGTTTTACCCACTTTGGCTGCCAGATCTGGTCAATGTAATAACTCTGAGAAGACATCACAATCCCAGGATACCATTTTCTCTCACATCTGTGTGAGAAATACAAGGGGCCAGATCCCCAGTTGGTGTAAAACAGGCTTAGCTCTATTGAACTCAGTGGAGTATTGTCCATTCACACCAGCTGAGGATTTGCAACAACTTAAGTGAAAAAGCAGACAGAATCCTATACTTCTCACTCTTTCACCATCTGTTTATCATTCAAGACTCATTCAGGTTCATACATAGTTCAGACTGCACTGCTCTGTGTAATAGGCAGTTAACCCTGACAACTCAGCTCACTGAAATCTTGTCTGCCTTCTCTCATCATTGTTGAGATAAGGGTTACAACCTCATCTCCTCTTACAGCTCTTGAAGCACCTGCGAGGGAGGCATCCCTTGCAGGAAGACACACTCTGGACTTTGCATTACCTAGAATTGCTGAAACACAGCATAAGTACTGCTGTGTGAGAGTAATAACAAACAACTTGGAGCTCACCTTTAAGCTTATGAATTTAGTGACTTTTTGTTTTGCTTAATAAGTGAGTTTTCCAGCTTCAGCATGCTGTCTACATTCATGTACTCAATAGAAAAGGCCAAACCTGAATTTTAATTCTAGCTCCACAAATGACTCTGTTTCCTCATCTGTTAAACAGGGATAGTCATTTTCACCTTCAGTAACTATGATGGATCCTAGGAAATTCATATAGTGTTATGAAGACCAGCAATAAGTGAAATTTTGGCCGTAAGGAAGTTACTATAAAGATTTTTGCCATTTATTCCGATACAAAGCTATCACAGCTGTTAAATTCTAGGCATTGTATTTGTTCAGCTACCACATAAGATGTCCTAGAAGTCACTGAGCAGTTAACCAACTAAAAGCCAATGGACTTACATATCCTTATTGTAGCAAGGAAAGGGTGTGGCCTGGACTTGGACAGCTATGTCCTGTAGACTCTTCCCAGTCTGTAATTCAATGATTGCTCGCTCAATGCTGTCCTGGATATAGATAAATGCTCGACTGTAGATCTGGCTCTGTGAAGTTGAATTATGTGGACCCGCAGTCCAGATTCTCTCCCTGATTCTGTTTGTTGTTTGTGAAATCTTGCTGCTCATTCTGATGGTATAATTGAGCACTGGAGGAAGAGACAGGCTGCCAGATGCTGACCTCTTCTGTCGATTGCTGCTTGATGGGAAATTGAAGATAATACCTTAAGAAAATAAACAAAATAAAAGTTGTTCTTTGATCAACTGTGGTTACCACAGAACAGTGCCCTCTGAAATGCAGGGTTTAACTCCTCATTATTATAACACATTTTATATTAAAATATAACAGTTTTCCAGGAACTAGACACACATTCCGATGGGCAAGTAATTTACCATCACTCGCAAGCATCTTGAAATAAATATAGATGTAAATGAAGTTCCTCATACTATACCTAGTACAATATTTTTGTATGTGATTGGAATTGATGGATGATGAGCACCTGCCTCTGACATTAAGTCTTCTCTCAGGTGTTCCTCATTGAGCACTCAAAATCAAGAGTCATTTTGAGAAAATCTTGATTTGAGATCTAACCTGGCATCCCACATGCTCAGCATGTATATCCCTTAAACACGCATGTTCCATAAATTTGTCCAGACATAGTCTACTGATATGTACAATATAATAGAGTCCTGTTGCACGTTATACTTAGGATGTGTTCAATGCACTTAAAAATGCCAACTTCCATGTGTTCAACAAATAAAACATGTTCTAAGTGCCATCATATCATAGCACAGTAGATACTTTTCCCAGGAGGAATATCTCCAGATGGTATTAAGTAACACGTGTTCAGCTCTTGGGGGACTGCTCCACAGAGATAATATGAGTGGTCTTTACCAGCTCTGGTCCAGTGCTGCAGCTAGGACCAACAAACAGCTGGTTCAAGATTTTGGTGGAGGCTGGGAGTCTACCAGCAGAGGTTCAAGACTCCAGTGGGGGCTACGACAAACAAACAGCTATCTGTCAAGCACACAGCCCACTCCAGCCCAGTCCAGATCTTAGTACACATTACTGTGTGGCTGCTTAAAACAAATTCTAATTCATAGTCACACTTATTACGATCTAAATAAAACACAAGCTAAGTGTGACAAGGCACAGTTTTGTGACTCAATTCACAAAATAAAAAAAACCCACACACACATTTCTGTCAGACACGCATACTCACACACAAAAGCTGGTTTTCTGCTAGCTAAGACTTGAAACACTGACAATTTTCCTAATCACCTATCAGATTTTGCTCCCCTACAAACAAAGTCTAAAAGGGCACCAAGAGAAAAGTCATTCTGATCATTGTGAATGATGAAGGCAACACTAAAAGAAAATGTATACATATAGTCTATTTATAAATGATGCAATCAGTTATTCAGAAGGAGTACAGGAAATCCATTTATGTAAGCTATGGCTAAAAGATTTTCTACTCAGAAGAAAGGAAGACATTTATCATGGTGACTGAATTATGAAATATAAAATTTAACAATTCTAGGACTTGCAGGAAAGTGACATTTGTCAAGATTTTCTAATTCCTTTTGAAACTAAACTAAGGACACAGATAAGATACCTTTTTTCATCTATGCTATAGCTTCATCTGTTTCAACCTAGGTTTGAGTGAAACCTCACGCCTCTATTAAAATGTACCTCTTGCAATACTGGATTATTGTCTTGTTACAGCACTTGAGAGCCTTATGATCTTCTAATGTCAGGTGTTGTCTCTCTTATCTTGCTTGCTTTGCATACCTATTTACCTTCAAAGCCCTTGATTAAAGACAACTCTGGTAATCTACCAAGGGATTCCAAGCAGTGTTCAACAAAAGCTGACAAATTACCATGACAATAAGAGCTACCTACATCAAATCTTCCATTTTAATAAAGAGATGTGACCCACAAAGGATGCAGATCCAAACATAAAATGGCTATTTTTGGTTGGCTGAAGGCTGAGCTTCATTTGATCAAGCCTGCAGTCTCCATAGCTATGATACAGAATTCTGTACATTGTATTTGAGTCATTAAAAGTCACATGGGCTACTGGTAATTTATACAGGCATTTTTGTAACCAATCATACCACTTACTTGCAAAAAGTTCATTCCTCAGAAAGAGCTCTTTTGCTACCGCTTCCAGTTCCTCAACATTTTTTGCTCCCTGAATGCGATCAAATGACACACAGGCAGATATGTTTGCAGCCAGGGTGGCTAAGACGTTCAACTGGCTGATGATGTCAGCATTGTTCTGTAATTCCAACCTGATATCATCTGGGGGAAAAAATGAAACAAAAGGACCATCACATCATTATACTGTAAATGCTAATAATGATGCAACAAAATCCATCTAAACATTAACCATAAAATATTGTTCTGCAGTTATCAGTGCAATGAATGCATGTTATTGACCCAGTTTTTATGTTAATCATTTGTAACACGCTCATGAGTTTGTCTTTGGGAGGATGCTAGCTATGGAATGTGACAGCCATCTCAAATCAGAAGTTATTGCTAATCTGTTGGAGTTTTTAAACTGTGTATGATGTTCTCCATTCATTCCACGTCTAATGATTTTCTATGTAATCGACACGTCTGCTGATCTGTTTTAGCTCAGGGGAGAATATTTTTTATCCAAGCACATCAAGTAAGCATTAAGTCTGTCATGCTGATATGTGTACTAGACCTGTTAATGCAGCCAATAAAGGTACTGCTGATTTCTGCCTGTTTTAAAAGGTGACAATGTAATGCAGTGTAACTAATATGGAACAGCTGCCACAGGAACTATGGTTTTACTGCTACTTAGGATGGATGATAACACTTAACAGGTAACTATTAGTACAGAACTCACTGTGCATAGCGTGGCGATATCCCTAAAACTGGTGGTAAGGGGCTAACCTCACTGCTAACCTATGTGGCCCTCTACTGAAATAAACCAGAGTTGTGTTAGCAGAAAGAGGCTGCCACCTTCCTCCACTGAGAATAGGGATCAGTATTGCTGCCTGAAGAAGGAATATGGTCAGGGTAGATGTGGGACACACTGTTAGGCACATTCCTACTGCAACTTTTTGCTGGTAGGCTTCCCATTCAGGCATAAATCTTTATATAATATAGGTCAGTGATCTTCCTTATGACAGACCATTTAAAATAATAGCAAAGTAAGAAACAATATTTTGCATCAAGATCTAATTTGACTGATTGACTTATATTTCTAAATTTGATTATAAATAATAGGCAAAATATTGCCAATTTCACTCCTTTTAAGTGAAGTCTGCTCCTGAAGATTTTAAAGAACAATATTTAATGAACTATTAAAAACAACTCTAATCAGACTTTCAAATTACTATTTTGAGGTTTAATTATACCTGAACATTGTCCTCCATTGACCAAAGGAGATTGCCACAATTTGCTGCAGATTCCTTTTGAATTTATATTTTTTCCATTTAGAATTACTGTACTCATTTACAGTAACACACTTAATTCCTAATATTCTCTCTCATGGGATTTAAGTCCAGAAGAAGCCACTGTAAACTTTAAAGTGAGCTTTTGCATAACACCGATAAAAACCTTATCCAGTAAACCTCGAATCAAGTCTGTAAGTTCTATTTGAGTAAAAGCACGCAGGGAACCTTGTCTGTCTATTTTATAAAGGCATGCAGTCTTGATTTAAAGACTTCAAGTTATGGGGAATCCACCTCACTCCTAGCTAGGGTGCTCCAGTGGTTATTTATCTTCACTGTTACCTCACTTGCACCTTCCTTATAGACTGAATTTGGTGATCCACAGCTTTCAACTAGTGGATCTTGTTATGACTTTTTGTGCTAAGTTAAAAAGCCAGCTAGTAGTGAAAATCTTTTCCCCATATAGGTACTTGTAGGTGTGATCACACCAACTTTCTCTTGAACACACCAGAATAGACTGAGCTTAAAATAGCTACTTTTATCCAACCAAACTTAGGATCATTTTTGTGAAATAAAAATGTGTTTGACAAAGTCTATTTTTCATAAAACTACACTGCTTAACATTAATTATGAAATATTTTTTTCATTTTTTACTTATTGCATTCTATAACAAACTTTCCAGGATTTTGCTAAAGATAAGTGTCTGTGTTAAGAAAGTCTAAAAAAGATAGTACTGGGTTCATAGTTAACTACGCTATCACTTTGGTTGCAGACGGAAGTGCAGCTCCTGCTTTCTGTGGCCAGAACAGGTAAAAATTGTCACTTTTGTCTGCACCCTTTAAATATCGCTATGTTATTAGTTGACAGGGATTTTTTTCATAGATATTTGCATTTAGGAATCTCACAGCTAAAAGATTTCTAATATGCTGGTGTCTGCATGTATACACATGATAATATGTTTTATGTTATATGCTAGATCTACATAAGAGACATTTATAAAGAGAAACGTTTATATTGACTTAAGAGTCTGGACTGTGACCAGTTCAGGGGTTGGAAACCTACAGCCCATGGGCCAAATCTGGCTCACAAAGAGACTGGATCCAGTCCATGACACCTTGGGGAAACAGCAGAAGGCAGCAAAGGAGGCATCCTCATGGTCCTACTATCTGCTTTGTGCCTTCAGAGCATCCCCTGGGGCGGAGGCAAAGATTTGTGGCGTGTCAGGGCCTAGGCCAGAAGCACCAGCCCATGGCAGCAAAAGGTTGCTGCTCCCTGACTTAAGAGATCTGGCTTCAAGGTCAAACCTGCCACAGATTGTCCTAGGTGACCACAGATAAATCATCTAATCTCTCTGTGCTTTATTTTGCCATCTGCAAAACAGGGATAATAGGACTTCCTGTCTCATTCCATTTTTGTTGTCCATACATTACATGGGCAATCAAGCCACATTTATATAAACATATGCTAGCATTCTAACCAATCCAGGAGGATTGTTTTCAGCCCAAACATCATAGTACAAAATGCACTGTGATGTGCCCTGTGGATGAGTTTGGCTTGCACCAAACTGTCAGACATGGCCAACAGGAATTGTTTCTTTTATGGGATGATCCAGTTTGACAGCTCTGATGTTCCCAATACTAATATGAAAGTAGGAGGAATATGAATAGCAACTTACCCAGTTCATTTATTTGGCTCAACAATTCAACAGCATCCAGCTTCACCATGAGCTTAATAAAAACTTGTACAAATGGATTCTTCAGGGCATTCTATCAAAAGACAAAAAGAAAAAGTTGATTTAACTATAAAAACTAAGGAAGTTTATTCATCATATTCCTACTGTATTCATTTGTACTCCATTGTATTATCCACTCTATCACAAAGATCAGCCAGGATTTATCCTCTTTGCAGATGGTCTACACAACCACCTCACACTCTACAATCACTTCCAGCTATGTTGGAAAAGGTGAGGGTGTCAGTGAGCTAACAGCCTGATCCAATGACCCCTGATGTCAATGGAGAGGACCTTTGGTGACCCATTTACTTCAGTGACACTTAACTGGCCTTAAAGTGTGGGTAGATGTAACTTCTGTCACGTAAGATCCCTGTGCAATACTTGACCACAGTATACAGGGAACTGCAGCATAAGTGAAATGCAGTTCATCAGATTGTAGCTTAGTGGAATGTGTAATAACTCATTATTCCACAAATCAATGTTTTTTTCTTCCTCATCTATTCCCTCCTGCATTTCCCAAAAATGTAATTATGTCACATTTACTATGGTGAATTTCAGTGACAGAAAGGTGTTAATAATTCTTCTGTGTTCCAAGAGTATAAAAAGCCAGGCTTGATATTCTTAACCAAAAAGAAAACAATAATTACTATTAATGGCTCAAAGCAAGGAAGCAGAATAGCAAGAAGCAATTCAGCTTTTTATATTCAAGCAGTGATACATTCCTAAAAGAAAGAATATAAAGGTTTTATGTTTAAATTTAAATGTTCTTCTTCACAGAGTTACAAAGTCAGAATAGCATTCTTTCATCCTCTAGGTTCTCATGCGCATATCAAAGGGAAAACTTAGTTCTTATGTTAGAGATGCTTTTCTGCTTTCCAAAGACAACAGTTTCTTTCGTGTCTCTGGCTGGGCTAAGCATTACAAGGAGCAACTCAACTTTGTTTATGACATCAAGCAGGAAGTAGTTGAATTAATTAACTAAAGAGAATTCTCTATTTTGTAGGGACCTCTGCCATGCCTTCACCTGCTGTTAGTTTTATGGGATGTTCTGCAAACTGATCGTTTCAGAATAAGGATTTGCTCTGGAAAATATGCCTTTTTTAGTGCAGGGATTTTTTATTGGTGGTGGAACATCTCATTCTCAGTAGAAGGGTGCATTACAAATACTGGTGTCAATAGATAATTGTAAAAAGTACTGATTACAAGCACATAAACATCACAGTCACGGGCAGGAAGAGAATGACAGGGCAAAAAGCCCTGGAAAGGCAGCTACTCAGCTGATGTGGATTGTCACAGTGCTAGTGACTCAGGTTCTGCCCTCACCTTTTTTCTTTACCTGGGATACAAGATAATTGTGTTAGCTGTGAGATGATACCTTAACAACTGGAATGGTTTGGTTCAACTTAGTCAGTGAATTCATGATCAATGGTGACTTGTCAATCCATTCCTGAGACATCTCCGTTAGATCAGCCATCTGCTTCAGGGTTGCATTAGACTTTTAAAACAAATAAAAATACAAATACAAATACAAATAAATCCAGTTGTTCAGTGACCTTAGGCATTTGATATTTGCAAAAAAGCTTAATGTTTCCATGACTTTATACATATTGAACAAGCTTTCCTTCTTTAGACTCTTTTTCAACAGTCTGCCCCTATTCTGCAAAGCACTTCTGCATGTGCTGAAGGTAAAACTGTTTATATAATACACAGGTGCTTAACGTTCAAGTACTTTGCTGAACAGAGCTGGTTTAGGCATGTACTCAAACACTTTGCTGACTTGGGGCCTTAAAATTCTACAGCTAAGCTGTTTAGGAGAGAAAGTTAAGTTCTACTTATCAAAGTCAAATCATCCCTTTTTCTCATCCAAACAATCCCTCAGAGGCCATTCAAGATTATTGAGCTCAGAACCTGATCTAGCTAATAAATAAGAAAAATTGGTGATTCAACCAAATTTCTGCTAAGTCTCAGAATGTCTAATTTTTTCTTAAGTCTCAGAATGCTTAATGGGAATGAAGGACTACTTTCAGTCTTGACTGAAAGGAAAGCATGTCCCAGCAGAGTCAATGGAAGGCACTCGTGCTCATTAAGGTGCCTGTAGATGTGCTGGGAGGGTGTTCCGAGGTGCTATAATTACAACACATTGGAGCAAACTTGATTAAATCAAGTCTGCTAGAGCGTGGTAATTACCATGCTTCAGCAGCCTCCCACATTATGCGCATCAGTGTCCCCTCATTTCAAAATGGCAGCAAGAGGGTTTAGTTCAAGCACCCCCACTACCATTTTGAAGCATGGGGACGCCGATACATGAGATGCTGTGGCACTTTAATTAGAGCAGCTCTCAGAACCACTCTAATTAAAGTGCCCCTCATCCTCAGAGCACATGTAAAAGTGCCCTAAGTGACTGGATCTAGCCAAAGACTTTTTGCAGAGAAAACCTTCCATTCAAAACCTCCTCAATACCCTTTATTATGAGCTATCTCTTTATTGTTTCATGGAACTTTATTGTATTCACAAACTGGTAGCTTATAAATTGTCTCTGCTTGTTTTGCTCACTTAATTTTTTCATGAAAAACATTTGAAACGCATTTGATGTGTAGGAACATGAGTATTACATGATAGAAACAGACCCAAGGCCCTTCTAAGATGGTATTTTGTTCCCGACAGTGGCCAGTAGCAGCAGTTTCAGGATAAGATGCAAGAAAACCTGCAGGAGGTAGTTATGAGATAACCTGATTTCAGGGGAAGAGTTTTCCTATCTGCATTTATTCAAGGCTATTGCATGCATTCACCTATGCATTTGCATCTTTTCTAAAACCTATGGGGCAAAATGCTCTTTTCACTGAATTCAACAGGAGCTCTGCCAACAAATGATTGTTAAACCCAGCCATCCTACTCCACCAGAGCCTTGAACCAGCTCCAGCGGGAGAGCTGGGACCAAGAATCATGGTCCCAGCCCCTGCAGCACACTGAAGTGCATCAGAGAGTCTTCAACAGCTCCAGAGCTTAGGACATGTTTTAGTTAGACTGTAATCATTACCATGTGACTTCTCAGAAAATTTCTTAACTCACAGTATTTCTGACTACAATCTAAATAAAGCACATCCTAAGTATAACATGTGACAAGACCCTGAGTTTTAAGTGCACTTAATAAATGTTGAACATGTGACATCACCCTCAGAGATCAGGATTCCCTTTGGAAATAGTGCCTTCAAATAAAAAGAAATATAAAGGGCATGGAAAGCAAGTTCTGAAAGATAGTGATAGACTCAAACCAAACCCCCAGATATAAACACCTAAAATACCATAGGGATGTTTAGATCAAGTTCAGTTTTCAACTGCCTCCAACCAAAATCCTGCACTAAGTGGATGAGACCATATTACATTTAAATGCATTAAATGATTCTTTGCTGCTGATTGATCTACATTATTGTATAGTCTCAAATTTTCTCAGAGGCCTTGGATAATGCCTGATGTGAGGCCTCATAATAATGCAACATCCATCACTGAAAAACCAGGTTTTTCCAATTAAATCAATGCCTTCCAGAGAGGTCAGAAAGTGGAATTCTTCCGCTTCTCCAAAACACCAGTCTTCTCTGGACATTGAGCAAGAAGCCTTCTCGCGGTGGTGTCATACCTTTTCCATGATTGCTCTAGTTTCTGGGGTATCTGGTGCATAAAGAATCTTCCCAAGCAGCATTGGTTTTAGGAAAGACCAAATTAATGCTCCGCTAGGGGTACTTGTCAAATCCAGATAAAACGTTAAACAGAATGATGCTGCAAAGAGAAAAGCAAAGCACATAAACACAATAGGCACACAATAGTTACTGAGTGTATTTTGTTGCCTGGTCACTTTGTTGTTTTGGCCAAAGAATGACTACATAGCCCTGTGCACTGACTGATATAACGTGTCCTGACAAAACTAATCCACACCCAAGGCTTCTTGCTGCTGAACTCAAGACAACAAGTGTCTCACTGAACCAGCAGAGATTTTCTCTAAATGGAGTTTGGTGAACTGAGAAGCTAATAATGTCAGTACAGTTGGAAAAACTACACATCAAGATAAAAACAGTGACCTGTCAAGCCCTAAAATCAGCTCATCAGGGATGTGGGAGATGCTGAAGCATTAAGCCATGACATTACTTGCTCAAAGAACCTGAGTTTTCCTGCTTAAGCGTTATGAAAATAAGTCACCCACAAATACAGAGGACCAAATCTTCAGCTGGCATACATCAAAGCCCCACTGAAGTGACCACTGCTTTTCAGAATTATACCAGTTGAGAGTTTGGCTCCAGTTGCTCAGCATTGTATTTAACTGGAAATCTTGTGTGTGTGTGTGTGTGTGTGTGTGTGTGTGTGTGTGTTTAGCTCCAAAATGTTTCAGTTTCAGAATAAATCCATTTTTCAGAACAGTTTCTGTAACATACACTGGGCAAGATAGCTGACTTGGGGGTGGGTGGGGGAGGGGGAAACAAGGATTTGATGAATTAAAACTCTGGAAAGTAATTGTGTCCTCCAACCATGTCTATTCCCACCTGGCCTAGGGAATCCAGAGTGCACAGAAGAGTTAATGCAGTTTGGGGTACAAATGAAGCTTATCTACATGTCTCCATCTGGATCTTCTAGATACAAGTCCTCTTCACTAATGGAAGTGATGGAGATGCTTTGCCCCAAGATGTCCTCTGCAAACTAATACATCATGTTCCACACAAACAGCGACATCAGGTAATCAAATAATATCCCACAATAGACTTAAAAGCCCATGTTAGACTGGTATGGGCTCCAAACAAAACCTCTCTTTAGTTCCTTCTGCACAGAGGACTTAGCTTAATGGCGTTCCCACGTTGCCTCTGGCCACTGCCATAGAACCGACTCTGACTGGACTAGCTCTTTAGCTGGCGTAAGCTGGAATAGCTTCATTGACTTCAATATAGTCAATAGTGAATCACAACTATAGTGTAATAAACCAGCCAAGGATCTGAATCAATGCACAAATATGTCACTAAAATATAGAGGTTAGAGGTGTTCAAAAATTTCTATCTTTTAATTTAAAAAATGAAAGGGGAACAGGGGGAAATAATGATGGGGGTTTGTTTCTCAAGGTTCAAAAACAACCATTTTTTGATTTTCAGTATTTTTAGCAACACGTTTAATTACCATAAATTAGGTTCTCAGTGTACACATCTGCACAAGATGCTTACTGAACATTAGCCTAATAACATGGTTAAAACATGTGCTAATAGCCTACTGCGCCATGTTATTAGGCTAATGTGCAGGAAGCATCACAAAATAACCATGCACAGGTGCTACTGCACAGTAACTTGAGTTAGTGCGCATTTCGTGAGCATTTTATTAAGCAAGTACTAAAGTAAATGTGCAGTATCTAAGGTGCATTAAGTGAACATGTAGATGTGCCCTGTATGTAGAGAATTATACAAGTTAGGGAATCACTTCAAAACACTTTTTTTTTTAATCAAACCACTTGGGAAAAATTTTTCCCAGTTTTTTCATTTTTTGAAAAAGGCCATTTTCAATGAAAACCCTCCGTCTGAAAAAATATCAACCAGCTCTAATAAGGAAAGCCTGTTAACTCACTCACACCCTTGTAAATCATAGGTACTGTACTTCTGCTGAAGTTAGCTTAATTATTTCAATTTATATTTACTGCAGAATCAGAGCCATACTAGACTGGGCAAAAAACAAAGATTTTTTCCAGTCTATTATCCATTCCAAAATATAGAATTTTTTTTAAAGTGTTTGTTCTATTTTTGTAATAAATGTACATTTCAGTCAATGGAAAATACTGTTTAAAACAGGGGTACCCCACCCTCTGGCCCTGATCCAGCCCACAGAGCTGTGTCACCTGGCCTGCTGTGTCCCCAGAGGTCCAGAAAATTGTCATTTGGGAAGTGATGGCTGCACTACTTGCTACTCCCCTGCCAGATTTCCAGATCATAGGGAGTCTGTCAGACCATATAGCATAGCCCTAGTGTGCGGGGCCTGACCCAGGCATGTGGACCCTGGCTGAGGTAGCGTGGAACCTGATGTGGGTTTACAGGGCTGAGCCAAGGTGGTGCAGAGCCTCATCTACGGGTAGGGCCTGATCGGGGTGCCATGAAGCCCAATCTGGACACACGGGACCCAACCCCATACACTAACCCCAAACAGGATCTGGCCTGTGAATTGGCCCCATGCCACTCATCTCTCCTGTGGGGCTGAAAAGTTGAGTATCACTGATTTTAAATACAGAAACAGGCTAGTTTAAGTTTTTGGAGACTTTAAAAGAAATACAATGAAAAACATGGCACAATTAAACACACATTTGCAAAATGTTTCGTATTGCTGAATCTGCATTTTTCCACAAAGAGGATTTTGTCCTAAGAGTTTCTCTCAGGTCAGGCTCTTACAGTTTTGCACTGAAATGTATATCTAAGTCTAATTACATCCTCTGAATGAGCAAATACTTCAGAGTGTGCTGTAGCTGGAACCAAACTTACTGGAATTCTGTGGAATGCCGTATTTCCTCATCTTGCTTTGTACATAAGCATCATGGGTAGAACTATTGCTTTTGGGATCTTCAAAATCAGGAAGCAAGGACTCAAAAAACAGAGGTGATATTTCCTGGTTGCAAAAAACTTTTGAAAAAGTTTTAAAAGATCCACTAGTTATTATGTTGTTTGTTTTAAACAATGCCTATAGGACAAAAATAGAAAAAGAAACAAATGCATTTACAAGGACCATACTTGGGGGGGAGGTGGGGAAGAGGAGGAGGAGAAGTCAGAGAAATGAAATATTTTTTACAGATGTTTTTGGTTAGAAATTTATCTACCTTTAATTTGCCTACCTGAACCCATGACAGTTTATAAATTAATACCATCAATGCTAAAGCTACGGCATTGACCTATGTTAGATGTTGGCAGATTTACATCAACAAAAGAGGGTCCATTCAGAAGAAGCTCTTGTCTGGAGCTGAACATCCCTCTCTCATCCATCTCAACGGTCATTATTCATTTGAGTAAATAGAATAAGGTCTGCCTCTATAATCTGATCATGTATAATGATATGACAAGAAATGAACCAAGACTGGATAATAACCACCCCTAGAAACAATGTAGGGTTCCTTGCCGGCTAGGTGGCTACTAAGAATAATCCCAGCAGTAGAGTCTGCCACAATCCCAGTTCCTCAAACTAGAGCACTTTCAGGATGAGGTTTTAAAACATTATCAGCTTTGGGTTAATTTGTTCTCACTATAATTAATAGTTTTATAACTTAATTCAGTAGGAGCAGATTTAGGTTAATGCTGTGATGGCTTGTGTGTTACTTACATACTTATTTTACCTTGTATGATCATTAGTATAAGGCTTTCATAGAACTATATTAAATAGTGAACTGGACTCCTATAATACTTTATTAATTAGACAAGGACCTGTAGCAGGTTACCCTTCCTTTAGCCCAACCCAAGAGCCAGTTTGCTCATAAAATCCAGTCAACTGTCAGTTCCACTCCATTTATTTTGCAGGGGAAACACTTGTCCCCACAGCAAGGCAAGCAACAACATAAGCAACAGGCAAATAAACACAACCTATGGTCTTTCTTCAGACCTTGGGAGAGGCGCAGCCCAAGTGTGGTACTTGTTCTTCAGGATAGCAGCCTCCTCTGCCTTTTCTGTCTGCCCCCCACCTCCTTAGGGGCTTTTAACTTCCCCTAAGGCCAGTCAATCATGCCTATCAGCTGACCTAGGGCTCCTAGGCAGGCAGGGTCCTCTCTCTAACCCCCTCCAGCTGGGCTTCAGCCCCTGAGCCACGCACCTAGTTATAGGGACAACCTAAGCTTTGCACAACTTATAGTCTATTTGCCCATTCTAAAATTGGTTTAGCAAGCGCATTTTTCCTTTGTCTTAAACAAAATGAAGTGTATGCCTTCACTTTGATGTTGTTTCTTTCAAAAATCCAGCTGAATACCTATAATGGTGGCTGATATAATATTTATAGTACATTTCTTCCTTCAAAATGAGCCCATAAGACAATTCTAGAGGATTAGCTGCAGTAAAGAAGCTAGCTGTAGAAAGATTGTGTAGAGTCATATTGAGCTTGAACCATTTGACCTGTTGCAGCACCACAACAGACCAAGAATGGGTAATATACACTTTATGTCACTTATTGTTTATAGTATTTTGTAGTCCTAATCAATAAACTACAATATTTTGTTGCATTACCCCCCTCCCCCCAATAAGATACATGCATCTTGTTTTGGGGAAGGCAGAATGAAAAAAAAATGTTTTCCTTGAATTATGGCTGTACAGAGCAGGCACAGAGTCTAATCTTCAGCTCACTCACCTTCCCCTTTCTACTTAACCAAAAGCTGACACCCTAGCTGCTGCTGCAGGCTGATCTCCAGGGGTGGATCTACGATTTTGAAAATAGCTAAAACAGTCTACAAGGCTGTGAAATAGAAGTGGGACCAGAAGAAACTAGCAGAGAGCAAAATTGCCAGAAGAAATGTTAGCTAACATATCTAACACCTGAGGAGTGAAAACAATGAGCCATTAAGTCAAATGATCCCCTCAGCTGTCTGAATAGAAATGGCACTGATGTGGCCTGGCAGTTGATTTTGGGACAGAAAAAAGCAGGGTGCTTTTATTCCAGGCAGAAAAATCAACTTCTATGCTTAAGCTACACAGCCCAAATCAGGGGGGTGATTTTTTGGGGAAAAAAGTGCATGTGGTATGCAAGAAAATGTGCAAGAAAATTTAACTATGCTAAACTGGTCCTCCACATATTTAACCTAACAGTCACCAGAAATATGTTTTTGAAAACTTCACTATTGGGCCAGACTCTAGTCTCACTGAAGCTGATGGAAATGTTTCCACTGACTGGTGTTGACTTTGCAATCGGACCTTTATTATACAGTTTTCTCTTTATGATGCAGCTGTCTGTCTCCTTTCATCTCATTACTCATTATCTCATTTCAACACAGTCATACATCTCCCACATCCTAGGTTCCATGCACCTTCCCTTTCTCAAATCCATCATGGGAGTGTCCCTTTGCTGTTTATGTTAATACAAATCAGGTATTTTTCAGCAAGGAAAGACACAAAGAGCTTTAAAAGTTCTTTAATTAATTGAATTTAGCTGTATGCAAACTCTTCTCCAGGGCACTAATATCTTAAAGGAAATGTGGTAACCTGTAGATATTTCCCTATGCACCCACAGTTATGTCCCTACACACCTATAGTTTCTACAGATAACAGGACTCTGTGTAATTATTCCAAAGGCATTTTTCCTTAGGATCATCCTAAGACTAACACACACCTCAGACAGGGCCACTTTTCTAGACTGTTGTAGGTTTCTGAATGAATTAATTGCTTCTGACAGTGGAGATATACCAGATGCCACTTTGTTTTTAAATTTTTTAATTTCTGTCAGGAAGTCCAAGAGCTTCTCCATGGATTTCTGCAGTTCTTTGGGGAAAAGCACCTAGGAGAGAAAAGAAAGAAGCCAGTAATTCTAAACGTACATATACAGACTTGCGCACACACATTCTAGTACTAATTCCAAAGTACTGATTATGGGATTTTCAAAACACATTTACTTGGGAACAAATGTCCCATAGGAAATAAATGGGACATGTACTCCTAAATTCTTTAAGCACTTCTGAAAGCTGAGCCCTGGTACTTTGTGCCCAGCTTTAAATAATCAACATAACACACCAGTGCAGGTATACCTGTTTATGTCATTTAAAATCTTAACCATGGCAGCTAATAAAAACTACAGAAAATACTCTACAATTTCAACACAAACCTTATACATGAAATTATAAATATCTAAATGTCGTAAAAGTGTGACCCCTAGGACGTAAGTCTGGCAAGTCCTTTCCGGAAGAGACAGATTGCAGAATTCCTTTGCCACTGCTTCTAGCTTCGGGTCAGTAGCATGGACATTACAGGACTCCAACTGGAGGAGCTGAGAAATGAGCTGTATGTGCATAAAATAAATCAGATTTGTAAATGGTTAGATTTCTCCAACAAGCACATCAATGTCTTCTTGCATTGCTGAGAACTGAGAAATATAAGATTCTTCCCATTATTTCTGGGACCAATTAAAATAATAGAGAGTTACTCAAAGGCTACAAACACTGCATTTATCCAGGATTAACCATTTTATCCTGGGACAAAATGAAATAATTTGCTCAGACATCCATGTCCATTGTCCCAGAATAAATCTTAAACAGGTTCACAGGATAAGAAGTACTAACAGTTTATCCCAATACATCACAAAGCACGTCTGAATGGTTATCTCAAGACTGCATCACTGAATCTGTGGCAGAAAAGTGGCAGTGAATTCAGATGCTCACAACACCTGGATAAGAAGGGCAATGTGTGTACACATAAATCCTGGGATACTTCTGGCACAAACACAGGCACAACTTGTCCAGGGGCAAATGCAACATCTGTTCCTAGCCGCGGTTTTCACAGGTTTAAACAATGTTGGTGTTTCCCTCTCCTAGTTGCTGACAAAGACAAGGTTTAGATGAATCCAAACAAGATGGTGGTGATGCTCTTAGATGTGACTGAGCAAAGAACCATTTATAGCTGTATTTATCCAAGTTACCGAGGCACATGTGCTCATCCTTGGATAAGAAAATTCAGTTTGTGAAGGTAATTTTGGATTCCTAATACTTCTGTAATTCCTGATATCACAAATGATAAAAGGTACTCATTCCCATTTGGATTGTGACCATTTCTCCACAATGTGGACGTAGCCACAATCAACTAGACTTTCATGACCATCCAGCTTTCATGACTGTAATCACAAAAGATGTGCCCACCAGCTGCTGTCAGCCAGAAAAAAAGCTTGCAGTTTTGTCCTTCAATAGCTGCACTGGCTTACAAAGCTCTTCTGGTTGTTTATTTCAATCTATAAAATGCTACTTACTTTGTCGCCCATGGGAACCACATATCAACGTCTATGTTGCCACAATGGAGATATCTTAAGCTGTTTTCATGAGCAGCTCCTAGATTTACATTCATTATTTAAGAACTGAAAATTAACAGGACCTTCAACTCAAACAGAAGTAAGCTTACCTGAGTTGTGTTTTCTGGGACAGGTATTTCCATCAGAGTACTGATACTTGCTATGGACATTCCTGTTTCATTTATGAGCTCTTCTTTCATCTCATCAACATTTGTAAACATATCCATTAACAATTCTTTAACACAAACAAAAAAGATATGGTACCTTTCTCTTCATTTAATTAAATATTCCATACATGCATATTATTCACATTATTTTGAGTACAGGAAAATGTGCAATTTTACCCAACGGATAGCATACACATTGTCTGACAGTAGCACAACTATATGGCATACATAAAATATGTCTAAATTTCCATGGGTATTTGTCATGCAAAAAACTGGAACTGGTACTGTCCTTGATAATTGTAGGGATTGTGGAACCATGTCTTTTGGGTCCAATATGGGCCACAGTTCATCTACGCTCAAGGAATAGGTCTTTTTTTTGGCTAGATCCAGAAATATCAGTCAATGGGCTATTTGAAGCTGAAAGTCAGACTATGCAAAGTACAAAAATAAAAGCTAATGGATACAGCATCTGTTTGCTTTACCCACTTAGCTTCCATGACACAAGATCAAATTTGCTGAGGGAATGTCAACAGAAACAACTAAATGAGTGACCACATTCGCAACCCAAAGTTTTATAGCGATTGTGTAAAACTACCTTTCTTTTCAGAAACGGTTGCACTCTCAGTGCTGTTCACCATGGAGCTGATAGTAGCCACATATTGAGCAATATCTTGAAAGCAATCCATCTGCGGTAAATTTTCTTGAAACCTTAAAAAAGCATAGGCAATATTAAAGGAAAGTAAGTAGCTACTGTGAGAATTTCAGGAATGGAATAATAGGGCAAAACTAAAAACTTGAGGTGGCCTTACCATTCCATTTGCAACCGGAGTTTTGTAGGATCTCCAATCAGTATATCCTGGAGTTCCTGAGAGATGCTATTGTGATTAATTACATTTGTCACAATGCGATCGCTTAGCTTAACACTGTGAAGGAGTTGCTCATGAAATTGACTTTGTTCACAAAGTGCTTCAAAACTAATATTAGGGAGATAGCAGATATGTTGCACTAACTTAAAGCTCTCATGGACACAGAGAAGTTTTGTCAGGTTTTGGAGGTGAGATATCTTTAAATAAAAACAAGAGACATGACAAATGTTATATAATAGTAATGTAAAAACTGAGTTTTAGATTAAAGAATCTAGGCATCACTTTGCTTTTCCTTGGGACTCAATTTTCAAGATGTTTAGTTTAAAAGGCCTCGAGCTGAACTGAAAGGCACAGTGACCACCATAGCATGAGAGGTAGAGCCTTGCGCAGCATAGGAAACTAGCCTGGAACCTAGGAAATCAAGATTCAAATCCTGGCTCTACTGCCAGCCTGATGTGTCACCCTAAGGGAATTGCTTTACTTGTCAGTACCTCTGTTTCTCTTGCTACACTTTCTCTGCCTTGCCTATGTAGACTGAAAGCTCCCTGGGGTAGGGACTGTTTGTAAGTGCCTAGCACGCTGAGATTAATAAATGCTACTGTAATACAAATAAGTATCAAGAGCAAGGTTGCTGTTATTAATGGTGATGTCTATTACACTATTACAGCTTTGCATAGTCATTTATTTCCTCTCTCAAATGGACCCTTTATTTTAATAAGAATTAAGCACAGTAAGCAAGCCCAAAGACAGGGCGCTGTGCTGGTTCAGTATTACTTAGGCGCTTAGCCTACCTTTGGGTATCTAAAATGAGATCCTCTACACCTGCTTTGGCATATTAAATGACTGGAGTGGTGTAAAAATGCTCTAAAAGCCCTGGCTGCAACTGGGAAAGATTCCCCAAGTGAAGGCATGGAAAGAGAACCCCTCACAAGCCCTTTCATAAGAGGATATACCGGTGGCAAGAGGAGCATATTGATAGTGTGACCACAGCCTGCAGGGATTCTAAGATGTGCTGCAATGCACCCGAGAAGGCTGCTGTAACCCAGATGGGTTTGCAGTTGTCTAAAATATGCTGGGAGCCTCTCATGTTCAGGAAGAGACTAAGACTGGAAAGACAAAAAATGGCTTAAATACACTTTGCTCTCTCTCTCTTCTTGCTCTGCAAGTTTTGCACTGCAACTCTTAAGCCTTCCTGCTAAGCCAAGGACTGTCAATGAAAAGCAAAACCCAAGCAGGTCACTCCTGTTTTTGGGACAGCCTGCCAGTGGCACCAGAGTGTCTGCTCAGAACCCCTCTACATATCTACACTGTCCTATTATCAGGTTTAGGTGTGCATAAAGTTGGAGCAAGTGGGAAGGTCTAGTTTCATGGTGACGATTCTTGGCTTGACATGGCCTTAAAGGAAAAGGGAAAACTTGGATGCTTATCCAAGGAAAACTTGGATGCTTATCTTAATGCTTGGATGCTTGATTTGCTGGGGTCCTTTGATCCTAGCTGACTTCCTGCCCCTGGGGCAGGGGGGCTGGACTTAATGATCTTCGAGGTCCCTTCCAGCCCTAATGTCTATGAAACAGCATAGAAACTCATCCCTGTTTGAAAATTACAACCAATAGATTTTTCATCTCAACTGTGTCATATTTAGGGGTGACAAAACATTATCTTGGAACTGCTTAACCCAGCTCAATCTTTTAATACCAAAGACCTCGACAAGAGCTGCTGAGTATTCACAGCCATTGTTTAGATGTGTAAAGGCAGAACCTAAATTCTGGTGCATATTTTCTGAAAAGTTTGGCCTTTGTAGCTTATTTAGAATTAAGCTGACTAATCAGTTTGGATCCTCAGAACTTCAACTGTATGAGATTTTTCAAAGCAACGTTAAACCCATATTCCTGCTATGGCTTTCCAGAATGGTTCAGAGGAAAATAGCTACATAGAAAACAGATTAAGAAAGACAGATTAACACAAGAAAAGATGACACAGTAGTATTAGAAAGTCAGTCTCCATTCTATTAAAATCCTGGGTCTGGAACTCCAGCAATGAAATCTCTTATTTATTTTACAATCTGTATTATGTTCATTTCCAGGGACACCAGACAAAATGAGGGCATTCCTTAAAATAGGTGCTGTAGACAAGTATACACGTGGAGAGTTCCTACACCAAATGAGTGTGCCTTGTTAGTTACAAAGGAGAATTTCACATTTCTGTTAGGTGCCTAATTCCCTATAACTGTCAACGGTATTTAGATGCTTAACTACCATCTTTACTTTCAAATGATGTATCACTTTCAAATAACCTAAAAGAGGTTGGAGCACAGGTTTCATGTAACTGATGTGCTTAACTCTGCCAGATGATTTGAAAGTCTCACCCCCTGTTAGTGGCAGGTGAATCAGATATGGATAAACCAGAAGATTTAGATGGCTTGCATGAGGTTCTTAAGAGACTGTCTCCTTCCATGCCTACACCTGGGGAGTCTTCCTTGAGAGGCGTTCATTGCCATCTTAGGATGGATGATGAAAAAATGTAATAGGATAAAAAAGCAGAAGCATCTATGCTTTCTCTCAAATCTAAATATACATTTGTAATAACTGTATAGGAAAGAATATTCTCTCTTCAGGATAGGTGCAACTCCCTCCCCACTCCTCTGCCCCACACAGGCACAGGAAGTACCAGTAACATCCAGTCTTCATCCTAGATCATATGAGGAGTTTTTAACATTGTTTTCCCTAAACTGGATTCCTGAAAACTTCACTGGTCATTCATAGAAATCCTAGAATTCACAGGAAAATTGGGGTTGGGAGGGACCTCAGGAGGTCCAACCCCCTGCCCAAAGCAGGACCAGCCCCAACTAGATCATTCCAGCCAGGGCTTTGTCTAGCCTGGTCTTAAAAACCTCCAAGGATGGAGATACCACAAACTCTCTGGGTAGCTTGCGCCAGTGCTTTACTACCCTCCTAGTGATAAAGTTTTTTCCTAATAACCAATCTAAACTTCCCTTGCTGCAACTTGTGACAACAGCTCCTTGTTCTGTCACCTGCCACCACTGTGAACAGTCCAGCTTCATCCCCTTTATAACCAAAAAAGTTTAGCTCCATCTGCTGTAATCATGTTACACTCAAGGAATCCTTTGAATGAGCATACTTACTTTTGACTTCAGGAGCTCAGAAATGGATGAGTGTTTCTCAGAGGTATCATTCTGAGTGAAAGGGGCCTTTTCTATCTGAGCCTGGTTCAGAAGCAGTGTTATATTTTCTGTAACAGAAAAAAAGTTACTGCAGATGGGACCCATGTTTATTACAGAAACCCTGCATATCTGGAAACTTATATTTCTTCTTTGCAGACCTTTTTAAAGGCGCTGACAAATTACAGATCTTTCTGAATTCAAAAGGAGTTAGAGGGGCTCAGCACATCTAAACTTATGTTTTTCAGCCTAGAGTGTAACCTCCTGATCCAGTCTGAGTAAAGTACATAGCTGCATTGTTTCGGGAACTAGATCATGACTCTGGGCACGTCTACACTGCACACACAGTAGTGAAGTGAAGAGACACTCGAGCTAGCTGGATGCTGCTAGCAGCACAGCTGAGCCAGCACACAGTTCAGTGCAGGTGTTTATTCTGCTTCTAGAACAGGCTTAATATTACTACCCATGCTTAGCTGGGGGCTGCCTCAGCTATGCTGCTAGCAGTATCTAAGCCAACTTGGGTATCACTATGCTACACTGCAGTCGCTGTGATAGCTGTGTGAACATACCCTCTGACAGTCACTGCTTGCTCCTTGCTCTTTGGGGGATATAAGTCATTCAGGTGTTCCCATACAAATGTACTAACTACAGTATAATCAAATTCAACATCATTATGTCAGTGGAACCTTACTTCTCAAAATATTTTTTAAAGGAAGAAACTGTAGCAGAGCACAGCATTAAAGGGGAGATCTCACATCTTAAAGTAGAGCGAGCCCCTATTAAGTTTTACTTGAATGCCATGTAGCTACATAGGAAAGAGAATTTTTTTCTGATTATGTGGGTTGACAAATTACACTGATAATCTGACCTCTAAAGATCAACGAATACAAATCCACAAGGTAAAAGGGTCCTCCTAACTTTCAGAGGCTCCGAGTTCTCACCAAGCAGGTTAATCACAATGGAAGAAGAAAATGCTCAGCAACATTTCTTCAAGTCATGCACAGTGGTGTTTTAAAATAATAATCTGCAAATCTTTCAAGTCTAAATCTGATATCATTGTATGAATTTATTCTTACCTGACAATTCATTGTCTTCATTTTCAGTCAAATTCATTAAGCATACCAAGTAATGCTTGTAACTGTTGTTTGCTGCCACCTGCAAGATAGCTTTTTCAAATTCTAAAAACAGAAACCTGTAAAATAGGAATGGAATAAGTACATTTATGTTACAAAGAAACAAAGAATTACTGAACTTTTTCTTAGCAGCATTATTGCTAAATCAGGAGAGGTGGTAAATGAGTATCTCTTCATAGAAGACTACTGATTTATGTCAGATGAGGACCTACTCCACAGTAATTTCATACCTGAGGTTCCTCCCAGTTTTTGTTGCATTGGTTCTTTTTTTCTGTTATCTTACAAATAGTAATAATAGTCCAGTATGGATGTTCATTCTCACATAGTGAGAAAAAGAAATTTCATAGATTTCATAGATTTATTTCATAGACATTAGGGCTGGAAGGGACCTCGGAAGATCATCGAGTCCAGCCCCCTGCCCAAAGGGCAGGAAGTCAGCTGGGGTCATAGGATCCCAGCAAGATAAGCATCCAGTTTTATCTTGAAAGTGTTCAATGAAGGCGCTTGAACCACCTCCGGTGGCAGGCTGTTCCAGACCTTGGGGGCTCGGACAGTAAAGAAATCCTTCCTTATGTCCAGCCTGAAACGATCTTGAAGTAGTTTGTGACCATTCGACCTCGTCATCCCTTGGGGTGCTCTGGTGAACAAACGTTCCCCCAGATACTGGTGGTCACTCCTGATAAACTTGTAGGTGGCCATCAGATCACCCCTGAGCCTGCGCTTTTTCAGGCTAAAGAGACCCAGGGCTCTTGGCCTGTCATCGTAGGGTCTGCTTCCCTGACCTCTGATCATGCGCGTGGCTCTTCTCTGGACTCTCTCAAGCTTCTCCACATCCTTTTTGAATTGTGGAGCCCAAAACTGGACACAGTACTCCAGCTGCGGCCTCACGAAGGCCGAGTACAGGGGGAGAATGACGTC